CTGTCCCATGCAGTCAGCCCCTTATCTCCCTCTTCCCAGGAGGCTTGAGAGTGCTGAGTTTTTGCCTTTCTCTCTTCATGCAGACAGGACTCTCCGCCTGTGTGGCAGCTTTGAACCTCTGAGCAGAGCTCAGAAAACAGCTGCGTGGTCACACAGCTGTGCAGCTTAGGTTACCAAGCTAGCCTGGTTAGCTCCTCAAGAGCAGATCAAAGGAGAATTCATCTTCTAATTCTGACAGTGTTGCAGAGTTTTGTATCTGAATGCTCAAGTACATGGAGCATTACCTGAGCTCCTGTCTGAGCCACCCAGTTAGCGGACTTACGTTTTCTTATTTTCTAAATGGCTTTTCCTGGTGGCTATTGGTTTAGAGAATAGTGGAGCTAGCTTATCTGATCTATCTTCGTACTTAGTTTTTCATAACAACACAGTATTCCTTTAAAATTATCCTAGTTTTTGCCCAAAGTCCTGCCCCCTTTAGCTTAAATCAGATGAAAGGATTACAAGGTGAACTGTATTTTAGACCCCTTTTACTCAAAAGGGAGTATACCCCTTAGATGACAGATTTTTGTTACCGTCACCCTCTTTGAGTAGATCCATGTGGCTCTACCACTGTTAGGCTGGGTCTTTCAGCTGCAGCTTTTGTGTTTCATCTGTTTGGCATATGTAAGCCCTTTCCCTTGGCAGCCTGAAAGCAGCTGATGAAAATGGCTTCTTCAAAACATAACCATTATGTATTCACCTCAAAGGTACATTGCATGCAGAGCAAGGGGGCAAGTTCTATATGCAGATTAAGGTTTAGATAGGAGAAATTTTTCTTCTTAAGCACTAGTAAATTCCATTGAGTCTAGTTACTTTTCCTTTTCTGGGTTGGAAGAAGCATTGACTCTCATTCTTCCAACCCCTTCGAGTGTTACGTTCTGAATAACAGTACACTACTAATGTTTTGGGCTGTAGAAAACTCAGCCACTGAAAACAAATGATTCCCTCTAACCACTCTTTTCCCCCTCAGTCGAGATGAGGCAGATACCTATCTAATTGAATTTTCTTAAAAGTTTGTTCTGTTTTCCTAGCTAGGTAGGGATATAGTGTATGTTAGTGGAGAAGTGGGGGGAGAATTAAGGAGTGGGAAGATCATGGTTTCTGATCCTGCTCATCAAAGCAACTGAGGGGGAACAATCCATGGTCTGCCATCTTGAGTGAGCTATAGAAGCCAAAGTGGTGGGATTAACTTTTTCTTTGGCAGTTTTCTTCCATTATAGAACCTTTATGTCAGTTGCTAAAGAGACACTTAATTAGATCCCCTGCTCGTGTGCATATGCTCCATCACAGGGAGAACCTGCAGTCAAGGATACTTGGAGCTATAAGAAAATAAAATATAGGAGGCAGAAACATCTCTAATGTGGGGAGAAGTTGACTCAACCCCTTAGAGAAACTCTGAAACTTCGGGAATTCAAAATGGCTGTGTGGGAGGAAGGTTCTGAAATTTGAGATTCTGTGATGTATCAGACAATATTATGTAAAATATGATGTGTGATGCAGTGTCATACCTGTTTTCTTTCCTAATATACATGTTAGTGTCCTGCAATAGACTACACCAGGCACACGCTTGATGGAGCTGCATGTCTTCTGAATAGCAATAAATATTTCCCTAGCAGGTAAAACTTTTAGAGGCATTGTCTTTAATTTTGGGGTGAGGGAAGGGTATTTTACATTCAGAAAATTTTGTTCACAAGTGGTACAAATCTGAAACATAATGATTGGTAATACAAATGGTTTCTCATGCAATATTTAGTAGAATAAATTACAATATTGTTCATATGCAATATTACAAAATATGATGAAAAATACTCAGTGTGGCAGCATGTTCACGGTACTATTATTGTAATATATGGGAAAAGGCCCTGCCTTTTAGTTCTGCTCTGCCACCAGCTTTTTAGAGGTAGAACAGAAGGGTTTAAAGAAATATGTTACCAATTCAGTTTAATCAAGTTGAATTTTCCTGAGTGGTACAGGGCACTAGGTCTCCGGTGGTGAAAATCCCATCTCAAAGGAGGGAGGGAGTTGAGTCTAGGTACTATTAGACCTGCTCTGCTGAAAGCCCATAACAAACTAGTGCAGTTCCAAAAGTGGACACTAGTGACTACAAAGTGGCTTGGCCTAAGATTCAGTAATATACAAATTCACTTTCTCAGTTAGTGTCCATGCCAATTTATAGAACCCTGACTGGGAAAATAAAAGCTGTGTTTTCTGGGGAAGATCCTCCATGGAGCCCTGTGGTCCTGCCAGGGAAGGAGTTTGCAGTTTGCATCTTTCTGTGCAAAAAATGGGGAATCTAGTTCCTACCAGTTTAAATTTAAAATTTTGGCAATCTGTGGGAAGAAGCCACAATTGGTTTTTATGTGTATAAATTATGCAGTTTTATATGTGCAGAGTGAACCAATTTAATATTTTTACTAAATTATTTCAACAATAATGATTACAGTATTTAAATGTTACCAGTCATCCACAAAACCTAACTGCTGGAATTTCATGTGGGATCAATTAATATAGTATAAACAATTAAAAATGTAAATACACGGGTACACATATGTATAACTATATTCAACCTTTAAATTTGTAAAATTGAGTACTCTATAACATTTGACTTAATGCTTATAGGGTTAGCATAAAGGAATCATCTGTAGCCAAACTAGGATCAGTGTGCCGTAGGATTTACAGAATATTTTCCCATGCGTATTTTCATCATCGGCAGATATTTGATGAATATGAAGTAAGTAACTGAGTACTTTTCATTTACTGTTGTTTCTAATGTATTTGCTAAATTATGTTAGACATCGATCTTCTGTAGTTGTGTATACTGTATATATATTTTCTTCTCTTAACATCTTCTTAGATATGCAAGGTACAGCTTGTAGGGAATACATACACATAAGAGTTGTGTGAAGTTTCACATGAATGACTTAGGTCTTCAATCTAAGCGATTTCATGTGGATTTTTAAATTCTGTTTATTATAGTTCTCCTAAATTGGGTAGAAGTTCACTCTACAGAAGCAGAAAGCTTTACAAGAACTTTAATACCATCAATTCAATGACCGTTGTTATGAAAATAGCTTGCTCTTGAGTATTATGGGAAACTCTTAAGATTATTGTAATTGAAAGTAAAGACCTATTTTTTCAATGTATTTTATGCATTTGACAGCACTTATGTACAGCCAGTTATTTTTGTACATCTTTCCTAATTGTTAAAATGTTTTCATCCATTTCTGTATGAAAGTCTGACAGTAAAGTCACATAATCAACAAGGGACTCAGGTTCATGTATAGTACTTGGAACTGTTTTTTTTTTTTTTTTTTTTTTTTTAACTGACTTAGTTTTAGAGTCAGGAGGTGTGAAAGCAAGTAAAAACAGGGTAAGAACTATTATGGGGAGGAGTACAATGGGTTCACATACAACTAGAGCCTGTGGACTATAGTAGCTGCTAAGACAGAACTGGGCAAAATAAGGCCCACAGGCTGCATCCGTCCCACCAAGCCACCAGCTCTGGCCCATGGATGCTGGGGAGAGTCTCAGGCAGGCTCCCCGCTTGCCTTGCTCCACATGCACGCCACTCAGAAATGTGGCTGCAGGGCAGTTTCACTTTAAAAACTGAGCCAGGAGGTGAGGGGGAAGGCTCTAGGAGCTGCTCCTGTCACCAGCACAATCCCATTGGCCAGAAACTGGCCAATGGGAGCTGCCTGTTTCAATAACAGGCAGTCACGAAGCACAAGGAGCTCATAGTTACTCTGAGCACATGGCTGCAGCCTGTGCAGGAATGGGGCAGGCAGGGAGGCTGATTCAGGAATAGGTTGTTGGCTGGTAAGTCTCCTGGCCAGAGCTTGCCTCTGGAATCGCAGCCCCTCCCTTCCTCAACACTCTGCTTCCCACTCCTGCCCCCCCCCCACTCCACATACCCAAATCCTTTGCCTCCCTCCTGCACCCATACCCCCTCCCAGATCTAGCACCCCAATCCCTTGCCCCAGATCACAGTCCCCTCCTGCCCTAGCTAACAACCCAAATCCCTGCATCCTTTTTGTACCTCAGTTCCCTAGCCTACGTCACAATCCAACCCTCTGCACTGCAGTCCAGTGCCCCAGGTCACAACTGCCTCCTTCACCCAAAATCCCTCCCTTACCCTAAGCTCCATTCTGCATCTCCCTGCTCCACCCCACATTTCCTCTATTAATATCGTGGAAGAGCGCAGCCCTCAACCACTTGGCTCCCCATAAAAAATTACTGCCCACCCCTGCGCTAAGAAGTGGCTGAGCTTAAAGTTTAATTGGGTTTGGGGGGCGGATTTGGTTACTAAAGTTTAGATGCCTATATACAGCTTTTGTTAGAGCTTTGCATAGTGGACCAGTTGACAGAGTTGTTTATCTGATTTCATGCTTGGCATAGTAGGACTTGAATTTATATCTATTCAGGTGCTTTTAAGATTGAGTTATGAAAATAAAGCTTACATAGGTGCTGTGTCCACTCTTATGAATATAAAAGGGGGAAATAAAACTATTTTGCTAATGGATTTTGTGTGGTATTATTAGATGTAAGCCACCCACTGTTTCTAAAATTTACACTATCAAAAGGACAATTTATTTATGCTCTAGGATTTTTATGATGCATTTCCCACAATTCAGTTTGAAATATTCCTTTCTCGTATGCCATAATGCATTATATTTTATGTTGGAATTCAAATATTTTTTCCATCCTCAGAATGAAACCTTTTTGTGTCATCGGTTCACTAAATTTGTGATGAAATATAATTTGATGTCCAAGGATAACCTGATTGTGCCAATTTTGGAAGAAGAGGTGCAGAATTCAGTGTCTGGAGAAAGTGAGGCATGATGGGAATTGTGGTACAGAAGGCAACTGAACTGAATACACAATTGACATTATGTACTGTATATATCATTTTAAACACTTCAATCATGTATCCTTATCATAGCTTTGTTTAGTATACTTTTTGTATGCTGTGTGCATTGCCTTTTAATATGGGAAATTCTTTAAGTTATTCATGAACTGTATATTCATCAATGTGGCACTCATGGTTTTTAAATAAAATTAGTATTATCTGTTTATAATACCTGTTAATAAAAGAATTTACAGTTGTGTAAAATTGCTGCTAAACAATCATTGGATCACAATCCTCAAATGTGTCTGATTTAAAATATTAGTGAGACTATGGTTTCACAGAAGCCATTTTCTAATGAAATAGCAATGTTAGCCGTGGTTCTGAGTTTAATACATATGTTAAATTCAGACTCCTGCAGGAAGGTCTTTGTAATTGTAGCTTACATCTAATTTTTTTTTTTTTTTAAATAACTCATTTGTTTCAAAGTTTGCTTCTGCTTTTGGGTGTGCATATATAGTATCCTTGAACATGTATATGCAAATGTTAAACACAACAACAGTATTAGTAATACCAAATGTATATTTTTGATCTACATGAGAGACAGTTGTGGACTTTCTGGACATAACTTTCTGTAACAGTGAAGGCCTGTATACATCATGGAAGTGATGTGTTGAGTCTTAAGTCCAGGAAAGATTTTTTTTTTTCCTGATGAAAAGTCCTCCACTTTCATTCCTCCCAGAGACTTCTCAACTTTTCTTCTTGCCTATAGTAAGGTACTTAGTGGTTTTATACCTGTGCATATGTATAACAACTGCTTACAGATTATACCTCATCTTATTCATATTACGCTACAGAACAATGTAGTAGCATAGTCGTGTTTATAGTCTTAGTGGGGAAAAAAAAGAACTCTAGCCTTGCAATACTTTGATTCATATTGAGAGTATGATTAACAATGTGCTTTCCTCTATTCACCTGGATTGTATCCACTCTTAAGTGAAATACATCCATACATATGTGGAGTGGTTTGCAGATTTGCAATAACTCACAAGTTCCATGAGTGCTACTTAATGGTGTTGAATTATCCACAATTTGATTAGAATTAAATGTTTTAAAGAGTATTCTAGCAGACTTACTGTTAATGATGTACATAAATGAAGAAAATCTAAAAGTACTAGCAGTGTTCTTATATTAAATGGATCTTATTTAGGTAAGGTTAGTTTTGTGGCTTCTTCACATAATAGAGACTTTGTTGTCATCAACCTGTTTAACTATTGAAACAGGTTAAAGTGTTGGCCTTAGTGGGCCAAGCCATTTATCTAAACTATACTTCCTCTTGAAGTTATGCTTACCTGAGAAGTTATGCTAATTTATTTTTGAATAGTAATTTATTCAAAATATACTGAACATGCCTTAAATAGATAAATACAGAATCTTAGAAGTCAAAATATACCCTAAGCTACTGTATCATTTGGATGTAAAGGGAATTTAAACAATGAGAGCATGGAGTGATAAAGATCTTCAAGTTCTGCCACCTTGGGCAGATTGTTTTGTTTTCATTTTTAAAATTATATGTAATGGTCAACAGGGTCACTGCATCAGATACACTCTTAGGGCATGTCTACACAGCACCCTTACCTCAAAATAAGCTATGCAATTTGCGCTATGCAAATTGTGTAACTTAGTTCAAAATCTTAGTTTCAAAATAAAGTGGTATTCTGACAAGTCCTTTAGTCCTCGCGAAATGAGAGTTGCAGGGACGCCGGAATAATGTGCCTGTTATTTCAAAATGTACAGTATTTCAAAATAATGGGTGTGTTTAAAGATGTGGAATTGCTATTTTGGGATACTTCCAGTATCCCAAAATAGCCTCACTCTCTAATAGCCCCAGTGATTAGTTTAAATTACTAAACTTGGATACTTCAGGTTTATCCTATAGAGGTTAAGATGACTTGATATCTTGAAATTTGCACCCAGGGTAATGGATTATACTTTTGAGGTAATAAGATTTAGTTAACTTTGTAACAATCTGCTGTTGCAAGATAGACCACGATATGTTTCTTTTACACGGCCACTTCGACAAGTTTACATTGGCCAAAATGACTGGGACAGGAAAAAAGCTGGTGCTGTTCACTACTTTTGTAAATTTGAAGCTAGTGGAGCACTGCTCAGAACTTCCCCTTCTTTCATGCTTTGAGTTCTAGTAAAAACTTCTGCAACAGTTAACCTTGTCTGTTCTCATTCATATAATATTATGTCATACTGTAAAATTGACTCACTGTACTATCTAAGCTGAATATAAAAGACCTAAGAGAAACACTGCTTATATTTTTCTTGCTACTGTTTTCATGAGTACTGACAGTGTACACACACAAGCCTGAGTGCTACCATAAAACTCTGGCTTGTGTAAGCAAACCATTGATTTGTTCAGTAAATATTTTAATGGTTCCATTTACAAACTTACATTCTTCTTAGAGAGAAACTGAGCTACATTTGTCTTTTGAATTAAGTTGTAATTCTAAGACCCAGAATTAAAAAACTATTTTTACATATCAATATATGTTGCTACATGTTTCTCATTTTTTTTTTCCTCCTCCAAGAATGCAACTAACTGGATACTACATGCTTCCTAGAGGAAGTTCTGTGCTCTCCCCTCTCAGGATACAAAATATGGTTGGAGGTCATAATATTCATCATTTAAGAATGTAGAAATGTTGTGATTTACTCACATCTGTTACTCTGAAAAGAGTTTGCATTTATGCCCTGTTTTACTTTAGTACAAGCGTTAAATGATTCTGGAATATCAAGTAAGTGAAGGAAATTCTTTTCATAGATCTTCTCGCTAGGTATTATTAATACAAATACCTAAATAAGTGGCCTGAATATAAGCAAAGAACAGCTTTCAGGTTTTTTCCCAGAGCCATGTATGTCTTCTGATTTGTATTACTTAGCCACAGTAGTTCTGCTAGTCAACAGTAAATGGACGCTAAGATTTTAATTCAAAATACAGTGCTGATTGTCTCAGTCTGGGCAAAGTAAATCAATATTAAAAATCAAAATTCCAACTGTCCTGTCCATTCTATTCACTAGGTAGCAGGAAAATGTTAAAACAGCAACCTGAACTCCTCTTTACTAAGAAGAGCAAATATACAAAATATAAATAAAACGTGACTAGCTTTTGGTAAAGAGTTTAGAAATCTAATCAAAATTTGGCTTTGTTTTATCACCATAAATTGTTAAAGGGAAATATCTCTATATATAACTTGATAAGAGATTTGAACTGTTACTAAGTGGTATAAACTACTGTGGTCTTAAGTAAGGCAAAATAAAACTCTTGGTTGCCTCTAATAATAAAAAACTAGTCACAAATACAAAAAAGGACCTTGACTTTACAAAGAAGCCACTAGAAATCTTATGTATATAGCACCTTAACTGCAGAAGGTGCTTAAGGGAATTTTTTCCACTTGCTGAGGTTTTTCCCCCTCAAACTGTTGTAGTGAAAATGAATCTGTTACAGGTATGACACAGACACGAACTATTGTGTTTAGACGCATATATTATCAGAATCCAGATGTAGTGAGAAATTGTATTTGTGGACAGGAAATAATTTAATAATTTGAAAGTGTAAGGTTTTTTAGAAGCTTATGAACCGTCTTACTATATTCAAAATCTCGATTTTTAATGTATTTGTATTTGTTATGGTGTACGGCCTAGGGAACCATTTATAGTTCACACATGTAAAATCAATTTTTTTTAATGCTGTGTAATCAAACTGGTTACTTGATTTTTGTCTGGAGAATTAGTCCATGTGCCAGTAAATAACACTAGCTTGATTCTTAATACAATTTCAGTAATTTTGTAAATACTAGTTCACATAAGAGTACGTCTGTTGCAAATCTAGTGAAGATATAAAAGAGACACTGGAGTATGAATATGAAAAAAACAGTGTCTTGCCACTACACTTAGTCATTCTGATTAGATTTGTAAAGCAACAAGAACTGTCTCCCATTTCGAGAAAGACACTGGCTGTAGTATTTATAAGGAGTGGGTATTAAATAATTATATATGAATGAACATTAAAATGCATTAAGGTATTATGCCTAATAAGTATTCTCAAACAGTACTATATATCCTTCTCTATCAAGGCAGCTTTAGGTTTTAAAGACAAATTACAGACTGCTGTAGACCTGTGGTTGCAAGTTACATAGCTCTATTCAGCATTATAAAGGACACTGTAAACTTAATCATAGTAATACTGATGACCAGCACTTTTACTATTATTTCTGTTTGTAATGTCCCCAAACCCTCTCACTAGATGAGGACTTAAGTTCTTGTTTTATATACTTTTTTGAAGTTAGGGGACAGAAGTCCAATGCCTTTTTATTTCACCACTTTACTCCTATATGATCATAGTTTGAAGGTTGCACCACCACCTACAGCAGCACAGAAGTAAGGGTAGCAGTACTACAGCCCTCCTCCCATAGCCTTGTGACACTGTCCACACACACACACGCATGCAACCCTCTTTGGGTCAGGATTCCTACAGTTAGAATACTGTGAAATTTCAGATTTAAATAGTTAAAATCATGACATTTATGATTTTTAAGATCCCATGACTGAAATTGATCAAATTGGACCATGAATTTGGTAGGGGCCGACTTATGGGTTAAAGCAGGCCTGGGCAAAATAAGACCTGCGGGCTGGATCTGGCCTGCCAAGTCACCGGGTCTGGCCCACGGAGGCAGTGGGGAGCCCCAGGCAGGCTCCTCTGCTTGCCCTGCACACAACTCAGAAATGTGGCTGCAGGGTACTTTCTCTTTGAGTCTGAAGGGGAGGTGGGAAGACTCAGACGCTGCTCCCACCCAAGCACAATCCCATTGGCAGGGTTCTGGACAGACACTAGCCAATGGGAACTGCCTGTTTGAATAACAGGCAGCCACAAAGCACAACCCTCTTGTTCACTAATCAAGCACATGGCTGAGCAGGCAGAAACATTTTTAGCTCTGCAAGCCTTTAGCTCTGCATGCAGGCAGGCAGGCAGGCTGGTAAGGCTCCTGCCAAGAACCTGCCTCTGGCACCTCGGTTCCTCCCTTCCCCAACCCTCTGCCTCACACTCCTGTCCCTCTACTCTGCCTGCTCCCATATCCCCTCCCTGATCTGGCACCCGATCTCCTGCCTGAGATCACAATCCCCTCCTACCGTAGGTCACGTTCCAAAACCCTGCACCCCAGTTCCCTGCCCTAGGTCACAACTACCTCCTTCACCCAAACTCCCTCCCAGATGCCATTCTCCCTTTTGCAACCTAATCCTTTACCCCAAGCTCCCTTCCGCACCCCCAGGACCTGCAGCTCATCCATTAATAACATGGAAGAGTACGGCCCTCGACCACTTTCAAAAATCTTTGGAGTGGCCCTCCGTCAAAAATTTTGGCCAACCCAAGTTAAATGCTCAATGTTATTCGCTGAAACAACATCTGCAACTTTTGTATTTATGAAACGGCATGGGTATGCACAAATCAAGTAGTTACACATTTAACTATACCATTCACAAATGCTTGCAGTGAGCTCTAGCTATGCAATCACAGCTGCAAAACATGGCTTTTAACTTGAGATTATTATTCTCTCTGAACAATGATTGTTTTAAATAATGTGTGAATTAAGTCTTTATGAAAACTTGTTTAGGGACATCAAAGTCCTCTATTTGTTCCAGTATGATGTACAGACACCTGCAGGTCAGATGCCTGTTGCCTAGCAATATTTCAGCCCTGACTATGTGGGGTCACTTTCTACACTGAGAAGATAATTCGGGCTCTGTGTGCATGCAATACTTGCATTTCTTCTGAAACTGCCAACAAGATTCCCAAATAGCTCTATATCTGACAATTTTTTTTTTTTTTTGGTGTGGCACATTAATTGGGAGCTGCTATATAAGCATTATCCTATACAATACTTTTCAGCCACGTATCTCAGGAGACGATGTGGAGGAACATGAAGCTCCAGTGAGTTTGCTTCCTTTACTGTCTCCCTTACACACCTGGGCTATGTCTACACTGGCGGCTTCTTGCGCAAGAACATCTTGCGCAAGGGTCCTTGTTCAAGAAGTCTTTCGCAAGAAAACGTCCACACTGCCATATGCAAGCTGTGCTTTTGTGCAAGAGCGCCCATGGCAGTGTAGACGCTCTCTTGCGCAAGAAAGCTCTGATGGCCATTTTAGCCATAGGGCTTTCTTGTGCAAGAAATCCCTGCCGAGCGTCCACACTGCCCTCTTGCATAAGGGCGCCCGCACAAGAGGGCTTACACCTGTTAAAAAAGAGCGTAGATCTTGCGCAAGAAGCCCTCTCTTACACGCCGTACTGTACATTTCCTTGCGCAAGAGCGTGCAGGCAGTGTGGACGCTCTGCGGATTCTTGCGCAAGACCGGCCATACTTGCGCAAGAAGCTGCTAATGTAGACATAGCCCTGATGTCTGGCATAAGAAGATCCTGCTACTTTATTTGTAGGTAGGGACAAAATGAGTTTCTGTGGTCATAAGGGCTTCTTGTCCTTCAACTTTCCTTGAGGAAAGCAAATGCTCTGATTTCTATTATTGGCCATTCTCTCACCCAGCTCCTCCCTGAGCAGGTTTCTACCAGATTATTTTGAGGCACCTTTGCAAATAATTATCCACTGTTCAGGACATAAGGCATTTGGCCACTGAATACACTCGACGGGCTTATGGTGCCAGTTTTCCAGAGTCCATAGAATCATAGAATAATAGGACTGGAAGGGACCTCAAGAGGTCATCGAATCCAGCCCCCCGCCCTCAAGGCAGGACCAAGCTCCGTCTACACCATCCCTGACAGATGTCTATCTAACCTGTTCTTAAATATCTCCAGAGAGGGAGATTCCACCACCTCCCTTGGCAATTTATTCCAATATTTGACCACCCTGACAGTTAGGAATTTTTTCCTAATGTCCAATCTAAACCTCCCCTGCTGCACTTTAAGGCCCATGGATCCACACATAATGGCTGTAACTAGGGTTATTTCCCTTATTACTGACTTGAATTCATCTCCGTTTTGGAGTGCATTAGGCCAGTGTGGGTCTAAGTCCCTCTCTAGTAAGTGTGTCCTCCATGTTCCTGCTACCAGGATTTCTTGGGAGAAAAGCTGTATGCAGAACGGCAACTGCTGCATGAACTCCAGAGGAAAGTGGGAGAACAGAACCTTCTAGACTTTCAGGGATTGCTGACTGAACCATTGCCTGTTTCTCCTTAGACACCTCTTCAAAGAATGAGCATAAGACTGGTGAATTTTCTGTCTTTGTGTTGGATGGGGAGGCACTCCGTATGCTGCCTGTGCTGCAAGCATGGCCCAGGCATCTCCCATTGCCTGGTTTCTGGCCAATGGGAGCTGCGAGATTGTTCTGGGGGCAGGGACAGCATATGAAGTGCCCCCCCCCCCATGGGGCACATGGTGTGCAGTGACGTACCTTTAAATGGCATGTGAGGGCATGGCAGGCAGGGAGCCTGCCCAAGTATCTTGCTGGGCCGCGGGCGGGTGGTGGCCCGGATTTGAAGGTTGGGTGGGCGAGATCGGGCGCATGGGCCATATTTTGCCCCCTCTGAGCCCGATGAAGAGTGAAAAAGGCCAGACCCAATCCTGAGCCTCATGGATATGACTAAACTCCATTTGGCTTTTTCGAGGAAGGGTGCAACCCAATTGCTTAGATTAGGGATTGGGATTCAGAATGAGTTTGCACCTGGTCTTTGCTCTATGGGACCAGCAAACTGACAAAAAGAAACGCATTGGTTTTTGAAGTCTTCACTTAGAGCCTGTTTCACTCGCAAAATGTAAGTCAGCGGTGAGTGTAAAAGTCATCAGGCTTGTTGCACTTTGTTGGTGCCCAGAGGAAGCCTGACAGACGCACTTAGATGTGTTCTGTACACTCGGTGCTACAGCGGTATCAATGTGCTTCTGGCACAGCAGCCAAAAGGTCACTTTACAGCTGTCTGATTTGTCATGGCCACCTACGCTCGAGCTGCAAGAGGGAAAATTTGCCAGAGGCCATGTTTATTTAATCTCAGTTCCCAACATGCCTGAGCTCCTATGTAATTGCACCCTAGAATGAAGTTAAATAAAGGGTCCAATCATCAGCTGGTTAAAATGCCTGCCTGCCTGCTGGCATGGGTTCAGCTGTAGTAGCTCGCCTATTTAGTAGAGCAGTCGTGCCAAAAGCTTGACAAGACTTTCATTCTTCACTGGTTCTTCCTTAACACTCTAGTGTTAACTTGAGGGGGGCCCAACTCACAGGTCTCGAACCAAACTTAATAGTAGGATGAATTCCCTTATGCTGAATACAGGACTCTTGGGAAAATGACTCGTATTCAGGCGAGTTCAATGGCAATCAGAACTAGGCAGCAGAATTGCTCAAATTAACATCAAGTTGGCTGAGGCCCTGTTAAAGAAACACTGCGTAGCTGGAGTCTTTTTATTTACCTTCCTTAGGGTTTGCATGGGGAGAGGTGACGCACACACGAGCCTGTGCATCTCTCTCATATGGGGATGGGCACAACCTGATCCACCCCTCCCTACTCAGAGTTCGTCTCCCTCTCTACCTGGCTGGTCCCCTGTGATGGACCTGCCTCTCCTGCTACTGCATCTTTTCAAGGCAACATGCGGGGGGCACACGCAGATACCTGACTTCCCACCAGAACATGACAACAGCCCTTCGGCACCATGAGGCAGGGAAAGGGTGGGAGCTACTTCCAGCTTCAGGAGGGTGGGGACAGGGGTAGGGATGTCCTAGCCTGTGTTTTTCCAGCCATCTTTTCTTTCCTCCTCTACCCCTCTCCTGCTCCCTGTGGCTAGAAGCAGCTTGTCCTTCCTGCTCGCACAGGGAAGAAAGTCAGCTAACACCTTCAAGCTGCTACTGGCCACCAACAAAACCCAGCTGCCTATTGGCTCCAGCGTAGACAGGAAAGGGTTGAACCCTAAGGAGGAATTGAGCAGCAGGGACCAGGGAACCTGGCTGCAGGGGCTTCAACAGAGTTGGCTCAGTAGTGGGACAGAGGACAGCGCAGCCCCACGCTGTCTAAGGGACAGAGCAGCTCAGCACTCCTGGGGGCAAGACCTTGGGCGGGGGCAGCATGTGAAGAGGGTGCTAAGCGACCTTGCCCGGGGACCTGCAGGGTCCAGTTGCAAACAGGTTGCAAATAGCTTCCTCCCTGCCACTCCAGAGCCTACCTGAGAGGCGGAGAAGCTCCCCATGCCAGAGTTGTGTGGGGCTTTGGCACATGCAGGCTTGGCTCCTCCTGGCCAGCGCCCTGGGCCACAGGGTCTTGAGCCTTCCCTGGGTGCCAGCCCAGCCAGAGGTGGGGGTGGGCGGAAAGGAAAGAGCCTGCCAGCTGGGCTGTTAGTGAGCTGAATGGTTTGATCAGGGGCTGGTTCTACAGTACTGGGAGCAGGATGCACCCCGGGGGGCACTAGTACTGATGGGAAGAACGAGAAAAAATATGGACAATTTGCCCATTTTTAAAAAAACCCCTTTTGCCCATGAGCCGTTCTTTCAGTCATTCTGAGAAAGAACGGCTCTTACGCAAAAGGGGTTTTTTGCACAAAAAGGCACCATCTACACAACGCTTTTTTGCACAAAAACGTCTTGCTCAAAAGGGAAAGGAAGAAGGAATGCAAATGAGTGTGACATATGCAAATGAGCACTCCATTTGCATCTGCACTTCCACAAGAGACTCATGGTGTAGATGTAGCCTAGCAGTAGTGTAAGAGTACACAATGGTTCTCTGCATTTGCTGTATTTCTACACAACTCCATTGAGCTATTGACTGGCTATTAGGACATGCTGCTTCATGCATCAGATTTAAGTTTGGCCCAGAACAGTTTGCTGACCTAGACTATGCAAACAGTGCTTCTGTGATTGGGGAGAAGGCCCAATTTGTCCTGTCCCTAGAGGTCTCCAAGTCATGACCTGTACTATGGAGGAGAACATCTCCTGGCAGAAAATTAAGGCCCAGTTCTTCAGAGGAGAATCCACAGAGCAGGTGGGGTCAAGTACTGTGGAGAGCATGGACAGCTCATCTACCTAAGCTGCAAATAAAATTCAAATGGCAGCAGAAGAGCAGATATTCTTCTACTAATAGGTCTAGATGCTTCCTGCGTCCTTTGTCTCAGCTGAGGCAAAGTTCAGGGTCTGTAAAACCTTTGTATTACCTATACTGCTGTACGGGACCCTCTTACGGGCAGACAGAGCAGCACGAGGCATTCTGTATGTATTCCCAGTGACAAACCCTGGCTGCGTCTAGACTGGCATGATTTTCCGCAAATGCTTTTAACAGAAAAGTTTTTCCGTTAAAAGCATTTGCGGAAAAGAGCATCTAGATTGGCACGGACTCTTTTGCGCAAAAGCACTTTTTGCGGAAAAGTGTCCGTGCCAATCTAGACATGGTTTGCGCAAGAAAACCCTGATCGCCATTTTCGCCATCGGGGCTTATTTGTGCAAAACGGTTTTTAGCTGTCTACCCTGGCCCTCTTGCGCAAATGCTACACTGTCCCTTTTGCACAAGAAGGCTTTTTCCCGAGTGGGAGCAGCATAGTATTTGTGCAAGAACACTGACAATCTTTCATTAGATCGGCAGTGTTCTTGTGCAAATTCAAGCGGCCAGTGTAGAGGAGGATAAACTTTCCAGTCTAGACGCAGCCCATGAGTATAAAGTGGTTTGACTTTGTGTAAAACATCATGACCTCAAAGAGCTGGTCTTCCTTCAGTCGCTCATTATATTCAAAAGCGGTCTGGTGGCCAAGATGGCCATAAATATCCCAGCACACCAGGCTCTCAACTCCTCCCCTGATGCATAGAGAGTTGCATGCCTTGCCCTTAAGAGGTGTGCCACCTGTGGCGTCTCCCCAGAGATTTGTGGATTCACAAGACTGTGTCAGATATGGGATTTTCACTACCTGATTCCTGGTGCAACGCCATCAGCTGTGAGCACTCTGATTGGTGCAACAGGTCTTAGGAGGCGATGTGTGATTGATTGACTGATCTATTACTTTCCTCACGTTCCTCTATTCTAAGTGTGGTCTCTGTATCAGCAACCAGTTCCCTTTGTATATGGAGGCCATAATTACATTTTTGGTTGTTATACCACAGTGCAAGTTTACCGCTGATTTGCTGTTCACCACTCCCTTTCAATATACCTGCTCTCCCAACAATATCTGCACACGTTATTCCCTTTCCCCTCCAGGTATACTAGCTGGCCTTTGTCTAGCCTGAATCTCCATCCATATTTCAGAAATTTCTAGGTCTCATGTTATTTCTCTATCCTGGGTAGCTATCCCAAAATCTAACATATTGTTCATTCCCCTCTTCTAGGTTACTAGGAGCTCAGTCTTGGGAAGTACTGCTTGTTCTCTATATCTCATGAAGTCAATGCGGGTTAAGGGCAGTCAGTACCACTTCATAGGGGTTAGACACTAATATATTCTTACCGGATCCAACTGAATTCTTAGCTGAATCCCACTATGCACATTACCCCAAATGCCATCCTTTGGCATTTATTATTCATTTATCTTAATGTTTTTTCAGACTGTTCATTTTCAGTGCAAGTGCTCATGAAGAATCCACATGAATTAATATCCCAACCAAAATTTCACAGGACAGAGTGTAATATTTTAACTTTTAGTAAAGATTTAACAGCTACTTTATTCAGTAAGCCTCCAATCCTGCAATGAGCTGTGAAACTCACTGCTGTCTCAGGGCCCAATTTTGTCAAAAATTGCAATAAAGTTTGATGCAGTTTTCCCTTGTAAATTTGTGCAGATTGTTCATAGTTTAATTATCATCTCATTTTGTACATCCTCTCACCAACATTTCTTCTACTATCTTACTAAGAACCAAAGAGAGACTTACCAGAAGTAATTACTTGGACCGTTCCTTTCCCTTCCTTTTCTGAATACGAGTACCAAATTGTTTCCAGGTCTGTTTCTCCTACAGCTTCAGAAATAATTGTTATCAGTTTGATAAGTTTTTTAGCCAATTTCATTTTGCCTTAGAAGAGATATAGTGAGAATCTGTGGATAGGTATATCATTTTCTAAGCAGTCCACATAGCCGCCTTTTATCAGTAGTTATTTAGAATGTTTTAATTACTTTCAAATTGTCTGTACTACTTTATATTTGGTTCAAAATAGATTGGAAAAAAGCAGTTCTGTAGCTCAGCTGAATGAAGGCCACAAACGCGTTTTGTAATGGTTGCCAAGCAGCAGTAGATTTGGATTGCTGCTGAACTGGCAAATTGGGGCCCAGTCCTGCAAGATGCTGGGTGACTTAGTGTTAGTGTAGTGTGAGTTGAGGGTGTGCAAAACTTGGCAGGGCAGTGTTCTGAGAGGTGAAAGGCTCTGTGTCTCATTACCAATCCCCATCAGAGCTGCTTTTCTTCAATTTGGCCACCAGACAAGTTACTGCTTTTCCTTAAGGAACAATTTTGATCCTTCAGGCTGTTCTGTACTATCAATCTTTTATTCTGTATTTTATTTCCTTTAGATGAACACCACCTGCCCTGCTGTCTGACTGTATTTAAGTTTCTGATGTTTCTTAATGCCAACTTTTGAAATGGCAGTCTCTCTTAAGTGACCTCAGTTCTGTGAAGGAATTTATAGGCAGAGGGTGAAAAATTATGAAGGCCCTAAAGTTTGTTGGTTACATGGCAAAATAAAATAAAAAGCTCTAGTATACAGAGTGAGCATTCTGGGAAAATCAGGTCTGAGTTAATGGTATGTATACTAGGTCTCCTGCAGCGGGGGGAGAAGAAATTAATGTGTCATCTATTAGATGAGTGAAATCCAAAAGTGCTGGGCCTCAGTACAGCTAGATAGTTCCTGAGTATAAGAATAAGTGTATGGGAGACTGGCTACAGCTTCACTATTTATCAAACGGGTTTACAGAACTGGGAAAGGATTCACAGAAGCTGCTCAAATATTAAAATCTGATTATCACTATTGAAGGCTACATCTAGACAGTGGCTCTATTTCAGGATACCAGAAGTATTCTGAAATAGCAATTCTCTGTCTTTAAACGTGCTCATTATTTTGAAATATAGTTCAAAATAACAGGCGCAATATTCCGGCGTCCCTATAACCCTTGTTCCACGAGGTTTAAGGGACTTGTCGGAATAGCGCTTTATTTCAAAATTTGGTGCTGTGTAGACAGCACCAAATTTTGAAATAAGCTATTTTAAAATTACCTCGAAATAAGCTACACAATTTGCTTAGCGCAAATTATGTAGCTTATTTTGAGGTAAGGGTGCAGTGTAGATGCACCCTAAGGGACAAAGACAGATCTAAGGTTAAAGCTTCCAGGGAATGAGGAGGAAAACAGAGATAATCAGATTTTATTTTTACTGACTTTCAAGGTGTGGCTTATTTCGCAGTTAACAAAGAAACCAACAAACCCCTGTCTTTCTAAAAGTGGGACTGTGCTAAAAAGCACTCTTTCTGGACAAACCACACATATCTTTTGAAAAATACCCTTGCCCCAACATGTAAGTGGCGGGAATCTAGCAAAAAGACTTTTGAGAGTATGGGGGAAAATCCTTAATTGATGCAGATGGGCAAGACAATTTTTTATTTACATTGCTTATCTGAGATCCCAACTGCTGATGTCAGAGACAAATTTGTTCTAAATTAATGTATGTTATATTATTTTTTGCTCTTTTTCTGAAATGTACATATTTAACTTCACCAAGAAAGAAAAAACTGTACTTACTTTAATGGTCTTTAGTGATAACTTGTTATTTGAAGTTGAAGTTAAATTTTAAGTTCTCTGTATAGGACTAACTGCCATTAACTATTCAACATTGGGATACAGGTTAACCCTCTCCCCTGAAAAGTAGATGTACTAGAGTTTTTATAACTTGAAAAAAATCTTTAAGTTTGTATGTTACAAAGTTCTTGGTATACTGTAATGATACATTTGCCGATTTCCTTTGTATGTGTGCATGCTTGCGTGCGTGGATTTTAGCTGCTTATGCAGATCTGACTGGTGTAGTCTCTCTCTCAGGATTTATTGTATGTTAACTATCTTTTAATGGCATTTTTATTTCTGGTTACCAAGTCAAGCATTCAAAAGTTAGGAGATGCCAGATTTATGTTAACTATCCCCTTGTGTACTGATTGAAGCAGGGGTCCCACAGAAAAATAGCATATGATCACACAAGACTTGATCATCAAGGAGCCAAGTGAGGGTTGCATAAATTTGGTATTTACTAACCTGCAAGTGCTTGACTTTGCAACCGAAACCTAAAGTACTTGACTTTCCTTTAATGTAATTTTAAAGGAAAAAAAGTAAAACCTTTCTATGTAAAACTGAAAGAACTCCTACACCCCCCATTCCAGCATCGTCATCGTCATTGGAAGGTTGAATTGTCAATAATGTAAAACAAACCTGAGATTCAGGACTAATGATGTTACCTGATTGCAGAAGAAGGCTTCATCCCAAAGGAGGATTGGGTCACTGGCACTATGTGCTGGACTCATGGAAGCAGTTGAGATGTTTGATTTAGATCTCTGCTCCTCCTTTGGGAGATAGCATCCTATCCAAAAATGGGATAAGATGCTACAGTAATAGGTTGGGTCTGTGTGGCTGAGGACATAGGGGGAGCCCTCTCTAAGCTCTTCCACCAAACACCACTACGATAGCCACACTGGCTGTTCCCAGCATACCCAGTTGTGTGTGCTGCTGTCGAATGAATTTAGCTCTTAAATCTTTCAAATTCAATTATTATTTTGACACGTTGTCAACATTTTCCTGAGGAATTCAAGAGAGAGGGAGAGACTGGAAAGGGCAATTTTAACCATTGATAATTCAGCCAAACCTGAATGGAATTTCATGGGACAAGTAAAGGCACATCTCTAATCCTAAAAGGCACATCTCTGCAAATTTTAAGAGGCCTTGTAGTTTCTCAGAACAACCAAACAAATCATCCATAATCTTCTACAACAGAAAAAGTGTCAGGCATCCTAAATGAAGGGGCTGTTACCAGCTCCTAAAATTTCATCCTCTAATGTGTGTTATTATTGGGATTTTCTGTAAGAGCAAAACAAACAAAAAACTCTAGGGAATTGAATTGAGCCAAAACAGCATCAAGCCTTTCCCTGATTCAGTATTGCTTATTACACAGGAATAATGTAAACATGTTATCACCACCCCGCTGTCCCATGAGGATCCCACTGTTCTCCTGACTGTACACTGTGAAATTCACTATCTTACCACTCTAGGCCAAAAGTCCCTTGGCAGTCAATTAATACTGTTCTCTCCATTGCTGATCTCCACTCTAGCAAGAGAACACAATGGCTGCCTTTGACGTACAGATATTCTATTGGAATATAGGCACTTCAAAGGAGATGTACATGGGCTAAAACAAGAGTGGGAGTTTATCTAATGCAGTGTGTATGCAAAGTAGCTAAAGAAAGAGAAGGGTCAGTTAAGCATGACCTTCTTTCCAGCCAGTCGTAAAAGAACCTTGACTGTCTTATTTACAGCACTGTGCCATTCTTTTTTTGTCCAAACCTGTTCCCATCATCTTAACTGAAATTAGTGATCGATTACTGATTGATCCTGTTAATCAAATGCCTTATGAATATGCATGTCGCAGGTTGTGGTTATGTGCATAACTATGTTAGGATAATGCAAATTTTAATTGCAATCACCTTTATCATCAGCACAGGCATTTCTCTTTGGCTTCCCCCATTTTCCATTCTTTTCCTCATTTAAAATGTTGGCATTCTCTATTATTTAAATAGCAACTTTCTAGAGGCAATGACTGAATTACGATACTAGCCTAAAGGGCCCACTATTGATCAAAATAAAGAATGAAAACTGTTAATTTATTTTGATACTAATGACTTGGTTCCAGATGTTTTTAATAAGCTAAATGGCTGATCAAGTTAGGCAGTGACTGAATAAAGTATTATTGCAATACGGCTGCAGAAAAATCATTATTAACACCTTTCCAACACAGTTACATTAATATTAGAGTCTCTCAGTACCAAAGCCACTTGAACTACTCTCCTTGAAGGTACTGATCCAGAATAATTCTCATAATTATCACTGAAAGCAAGAATTTTCTAGCCAGGAACTTGATGAACAGATGAATACATTTTACACATGCTGATACATGTATTCAGTTGAGACATAGCTTTTATGTTTTCATATATGAGCTATATACAAGCAGCATTACAGTGCACCTATAATCTTACTGTAACACTCTTTGCACAGCCTTCCAAATGTTCGGTTTCCATTAACTGGTAAGGAAATACTTAGCTATGCTCACTGTGCCCTTGGAAGCCAATGGGTCGACCCCATACAGCTCCTGCACATTCCCATTGCCCTTGGTTCTAACTGCATGCGCATATGCAAGTTGGAATGGGGGTTTGAGTGTAAGGTACATTCTCCAGTACTCCAGTCAGACTAAAAGTGCAGCTCTGTCTAAGAGATTCTGGATTTAAGCAAGGCAAAACCTGAAAATCACAATTAAGCCTTAAAAGAACTGTCAAGTACTTTAGAGTTAATTTTTTAAAATCCTCCAATACTTGCGATACTCTTTTAGAAAAGTATTCCTCTACATTCCCTCTGTATTTCCCTCTACCTGTGGAAAGCACTGTTTCCCACTCCCCTCCCTTACAGCACAAGTCAGAATTGATCTGCCAAGTTTGCTTTCCTGTAGTTTACAAGTGTCATCAAGAATATCATTCATGAAGTTAGCAGAATTTTACAAATGTATGTTCCATTAAGAACAGACATAAACCCAAGGTATTTTACAGTAGTAGTAATATTTTCTATCTGTATATCTCTAGAAAGAAGCAAAAGATATATAAACTTGTATCTGAGAAAACCAAAGGGTTACACGAATGAATATAAAGTAATGTAGTAAATTCAGTCTTTACATTTGTTTTAAATATTTACAGTTCCCTCCAAAGCAGTTACTTACTTGGTCACATACAAGTGACCTGAGTGACTCCATCTTCCTGCTCAAACTGTCCATCATCCAGTTCCCTTAGCACACTATCACTACTGTTGAATCCTGAGAAGCTTTCATATTGGGTAGATCCCTCCTTATTCCAACATTGTTTAGAAGGAGACAGATGAAACTCATCATGTGGATGTCCACTTTCAGCCGGGTGAGACACAGCTGTGTCTAATCCAATACTTCTACTAGAAATTTTGCCTTTCTCATCACTTCTGAGTTGCCTTGTGGATTTCTTCTGAAACAAAAGAGGCATTTGAGCATTGAGTTAAACAGAGTACAGGCAAAAACTGAGTTAGAAAAGACTGAGTTCCGTAACTGGTGTTCTTCAAGATGTGTTGCTCATGTCCATTCAACATAGGTGTGTGTGCTCGCCACATGCACTGGTGCCAGAAGTTTTCCCCTCAGCAGTACCTATAGGAGCTTGTGTCTTAGCACCGTCTGGAGTGGTGCACACATGTCATGCTATAGAGGATGGTCCCAGGCCCCTCCCTCCTCAGTTCCCTTTTGCCAAAAGAACTCAAAGAATTCTGACAGTGGGGATGGAGGGCGGGAAGCTAAATGGACATGAGCAACACATATCGAAGAACACAAGCTACAGAACAGATAACTGTCTTTTCTTCTTCTTTAAGTGCTTGCTCATGTCCATTCAACATAGGTGACTGTTAGCAGTGTCTGTGGATGCGGCTAGGAGATTCAAGAGCATGCAGACTGCAACATTGTTCTTCCAAAGGAGATGCGTGATTGCATAGTCGTCTGTGAAAGTGTGCACCGAAGACCATGTTGCCTCTTGACAGATCTCATTCGCCAAGAAGGCTGCTAATGAGGCCTGAGCCCTAGTGAATGAGCCTTGATCCAATCTAGGCCTGGGATGCCTGCTAGGTCATAACACATGTGGATGCAGGTGGTAATCCATCTGGATAGTTTTGGGGGGCAATAATTTTGGGGGGGATGATCCTTCATTTTTTCTGCATAAGCCACAAATAGCTATGTGGACTTACAGAAGGGGTTTGTTCTCTCCAAGTAGAATGCCAATCCCCTCCTGACATCCAAAATGTGCAGACGTTGCTCCTTATTGGATGCATGAGGCTTCGGGTAAAAGATGGGAAGGAAGATGTCTTGCTCATGGGGAACACTGAGATCGCTTTTGACAGAAAAGCTGGGTGTGGCCTCAGCTGCACCTTATCTATAAAGAGGACTGTGTACGGTGGCGCCTATGTTAGTTCTCGTAGCTTGGAGACCCTCTTGGCTGATGTAATGGCCACTAGGTAGGTCACCTTCTTAGACAGCAGCCAAAGGGGGCAAGTGGCCAACGGCTCTGGAGGTCTAGTGAGCCTAGCAAGAACCAGGTTGAGATCCCATTGTGGGAGTGGGGCAGGTGCCTGTGGAAAAACCTTTTCCAGACCCTTCTGAAAGTGATGCATGAGGTCATATGAGAAAACTGAGTGCCCCTGGATCTGCGGATGGAAGGCTGAGATAGCTGCTAGATGGAGGCCAGTGCAAGACTCTCCTGCCTCAGAGCTAAGAGGTACTCCAGGAGCCGCTGAAGTGGAGCATCTGTGGGAACTACTTGCTCTACTGTACTGCTACTGCCGCTGAGCGTGTGCCTCCACAGGTCTGCACTCAAAGGTAGAGGGTGCCGGGGACTTGGCATGATGTCGTGGTGAGACCCAGTGGGGCTATGAAAGGCCCTCTTATCCAGCCACATGGGAGAGCACGAGCGTCCAATACTCAGTGAGTAGTCAGCTGCATCTTCCTCCCTATGTCTGAGCCCATTTGGTCCCGTCGATGACAGCACTGGCATGGAGAGTATGTTCTGCATCTCCTGAAAGGCTTCTGATGTGGAGTAGGGCTGCACACTGACATTATGAGTAGCGACTGAGGTAGACTGTCCATGGTGGGGTTCGATGGACAGTCCCCTTTAGCTTTCCCCGTGTGGTTGGGGGAGTTATCTTTGGCTGACTTCTTAGCCCTCTTTGACTGGGCCAAAGATGCCCGGTGCCATGTGGACAGCGCCAGCGGTGCACCTTGCACCAAAGCTGCGGTACTTGGTGCCAAATCGGAGTACAGCTCCTGTTGCACTAATGCAGACTCCATTAGAAGCATCTTTAAATGAATGCCCCTTTCTTTTATGGTCCTGGGGTGAAGAGAAGTGCAAATCCTGCATTTAGAAGAGCTGTGGGATTCACCCAAACAAGGAAGGCAATCAGCGAGAGGGCTGCTAACTGGCACAGGCCTGCAGCACGCAGTGCAGGCTTTAACGCCAGGGTGGGAGGGTAGGGGGAGAGGGAACGGGGCATGCCCAGACCTCAAGCTAAGCTCCAACAGGGGACTAACCAACTGCTAAGTACTCTACTAAAACACAAAGGAACTATTAACAAATGAATGTGAGGGAATAAGAACCCTACAGCTAAGGCGAAATAACTGCATCCAGACTGCGTTTCTTTTTTCGAAATAGCGCTATTTTGAAATAGCGCCATAATGCAAATATGCAAATGAAGCATGGGATATTTAAAGCCCGGCTTCATTTGCAATTTCAAATGTCTTCATTTGCATCCCTCTCTTGAAAGAGGGTGCAAGTGTAGACATACCCCCCAGAGAAGCGATTAGATTTGGAAACAATATTTTAGTCTAAATCAAGAGTGGGCAATAATTTTTGATAGGGGGAGGCACTCCAAGAATTTGGTAAGTGGTCAAGGGCCACGCTTTTCCACAATATTAATGGAGGAGGTACAGAGTCTAGAAGGGAAGTTGGGTGCAGAAGGGAGCTTGGGGTCCAGGAAGAGGCACAATATTAATGGAGGAGGTACAGAGTCTAGAAGGGAAGTTGGGTGCAGAAGGGAGCTTGGGGTCCAGGAAGAGGTATGGGATCTGGGAGGGAATTTGGATGAAGGAGGGGGTTGTGACCTGTGCAGGAGACTGGGGTTCAGGTGGAGGTGCAGTGTCTGGGAGGGTGCAGGACGGGGTGCAGAATTAGGGGGAGGGTGGGGCTGGGTTGCCAAAGGTGGGCTCTGGCCAGGAGGTGCTTACCTGGGCGACTCCTGGCCAGCAGCCTAGCAGGTTCCTCGGTCAGGTTCCCTGCCTTCCATGCTCCCAAAGAGCAGCCATTGACGGTGACCAAGTGCTGCACTGAATGCTGGGAGCTGGAGCAGGGGAGGGGTACTTCACACACTGCCTGTCATGCAAACAGGCACCTCCCATTGGCTGGAAAATGGCCAATGGGAGCTGTAAGATTGTGCTAGGGCCAGGGGCAGAATGTGACGTCTTCCTCTGCCGGGCTTGCAGCATTCAGAGAAGCACATGGTCCCCACAGTCAGATGCTGTAAGGGGGTGGGGCTCACACCGACTCATAAGGACATAATATTTACTCACCTCTGGAGTCTGGATGGTTGAATTCCACATGATAGGTCTCTGAAGGAAAACAACTTGCTTTGTGGCCAGATTTCCTTCACTGCAAGTCAAAGCAGATAATGTGAGTGTTTGAGAGGCAATATGATTTAATTCCTTTAGATTATTAAGGCTTTTAGGGTAACTGTACATTTTAAGATGCACAACATATGTTATAAGAGATGTAGTACCACCTATAATTAAGGTTGCCTTACACTTTATTGTAGAGACCCTGTTTTCAGCTGCTTTTAATTTTGCCAAAGTTTACCTATTTGGACTGAAATTTTCCATACCAGTGCTTGGCCCAGCCTGAAGTTTTGTGGAAAGTTTTAGATAAAATAATTCAGCCATTTCTGAGGCAGAGATTTGGGAAAATGTTGCCTTGCTCATGTTAATATTTTTTTTTGCAGTTTTACGGAGAAACTGTAATAGTACCATATATTGGAGCAGGGACTTGAAATTTAGCTGATGAGAGATGGAAAAATGAGTTGTCTTTGTAGCAGGAAAGTTCCTTTAATTGTCCCATGAAAATCTAAGATATAAACTCCTGAAAAGTGCAGCTCAGAGATGCTGAATAAGAAAAGATGGTTACGTACCTTCTGTAACTGGTATTCTTTGAGAGGTGTTGCTCATGTCCATTCCAAGTTAGGTCTGTGCATGCCACATGCACAGTTACCGGAAAGTTTTTCCTTAGCAGGACCTGTTGGTCAGCAGTGGAGACCCCTGAAGTCAGCGGCAGATTTAGGGCAGGGTGAGCGGGGTGGCTGCCCCGGGCCCTGCGCTTCCCGAGGCCCCACGCATGCGCCATGGCTCCACGGCACATGCGCCGTGTCAAAGGAGGGGCCCTGCGAAATTTCACTGCCTGGGGCCCCACGGCGCTCTCATCCGCCCCTGCCTGGAGTGGTGCCAATATGGAAAGGTATATAGTCCACTGCTGACTGATCTCTGCCTCAGTTCCTTCTTGCTGAAGTCATTCCAACAGGGGGGAGGTGGGAGGGTTTTGGAATGATCATAAGCAACACATTTAGGTCTAGATGCACTAGTTCGAATTAGCTTAGTTCGAATTAACTAATTTGAATTAAGTTAGTTCGAATTAGTGCTGTAATGTAGTCATACCCTATGGTAGTAACCAGGGGAAAGAGGAGAGCTTGTGATTAAGTTCAGTGGGAATCTATGAGGGGGAGAAGAGGGGCGTGGGCACCTCCCAAGGGTTCAGGCACTCCCTCTCTCATTCTGTTTTGTGTGTTTGTTTGTCTCCTTCTGCAGGTTGTGAGGGCCATCAACTCCATCCTGCTGTGCAGGGTCATCCGCCTGGGAGACCTGGACCTGATTGTTGTAGGATTTGCCGCCCTATGGTTCCCCAACTACAGAGGAGCCATAGAGAGAACCCACATCCCAATCCACACACCAAGTCATTGAGCGGCCAATACATTAACAGGAAGGGCTACTTCTCGATGGCAGGGCGTACGATGTCCGTGTACTTTGCAACTCCAGCCTCTACTGGAAGCTGCAGGCTGGCACATTCTTCCCCCAGTGTGACTTTGCAGTTGGGGACGTGCAGATGCCACTGTGCATCGTGGGGGACACGCCTCCCCCCTGATGCCATGGCTGATGAAGCTGTACACTGACCACCTGGACCCCAGTCTGTGCATGCCACATGCACAGTTACCGGAAAGTTTTTCCTTAGCAGGACCTGTTGGTCAGCAGTGGAGACCCCTGAAGTCAGCGGCAGATTTAGGGCAGGGTGAGCGGGGTGGCTGCCCCGGGCCCTGCGCTTCCCGAGGCCCCACGCATGCGCCATGGCTCCACGGCACATGCGCCGTGTCAAAGGAGGGGCCCTGCGAAATTTCACTGCCTGGGGCCCCACGGCGCTCTCATCCGCCCCTGCCTGGAGTGGTGCCAATATGGAAAGGTATATAGTCCACTGCTGACTGATCTCTGCCTCAGTTCCTTCTTGCTGAAGTCATTCCAACAGGGGGGAGGTGGGAGGGTTTTGGAATGATCATAAGCAACACATTTAGGTCTAGATGCATTAGTTCGAATTAGCTTAGTTCGAATTAACTAATTTGAATTAAGTTAGTTCGAATTAGTGCTGTAATGTAGTCATACCCTATGGTAGTAACCAGGGGAAAGAGGAGAGCTTGTGATTAAGTTCAGTGGGAATCTATGAGGGGGAGAAGAGGGGCGTGGGCACCTCCCAAGGGTTCAGGCACTCCCTCTCTCATTCTGTTTTGTGTGTTTGTTTGTCTCCTTCTGCAGGTTGTGAGGGCCATCAACTCCATCCTGCTGTGCAGGGTCATCCGCCTGGGAGACCTGGACCTGATTGTTGTAGGATTTGCCGCCCTATGGTTCCCCAACTACAGAGGAGCCATAGAGAGAACCCACATCCCAATCCACACACCAAGTCATTGAGCGGCCAATACATTAACAGGAAGGGCTACTTCTCGATGGCAGGGCGTACGATGTCCGTGTACTTTGCAACTCCAGCCTCTACTGGAAGCTGCAGGCTGGCACATTCTTCCCCCAGTGTGACTTTGCAGTTGGGGACGTGCAGATGCCACTGTGCATCGTGGGGGACACGCCTCCCCCCTGATGCCATGGCTGATGAAGCTGTACACTGACCACCTGGACCCCAGTAGGAATCAATTTAATTCCCACCTCAGCTGGGCCGGGATGCAGGTGGAGTGTGCCTTCGGCTGCCTTGAGGCACGGTTCAAGTGCCTCCTAGTCCGCCTGGCTGTGGGAAGCACAACATCCCCATGGTGGTGTCAAAGTGTTGTATCCTCAATAACATTGTGGAGAGGAAAGGGAAGGCCTTCTTGCCAGGGTGGGGGGCAGAGGCTGGCCAGAAGGGATGGGGCCAGGCCCATCAGTTGGGGGTGTGTGTCTGGGAGGCACTGAGGGAGAGTTTCTCTCAAGGACCCCAGTAACTCTCCCCAGGACCTCCCCACTAAGGACCTGTGCCTTGCTCCACTATCTCTCTCCCACCACAATCCCTCCTTTCCCCCTTCCCTGTACAGTAAATAAACACACATATTTTGTTTTCAACAAAAGGAATTTTGTATTTTTCTTTCAATAAAATAAACTGTGTGTGTGGGGTGGGGGTCGGGACCCTTTAAGCGCAGCCCTCGGCTAGCCTGAGACAGCATCTCCATGCTCTAAGTCCTCCTTTTAT